ACCCACCGGAGGACTACGCTTATTTTACTCAACTACCTGATGCGAAATTATCCTGTAGACCGGCTCAGTCGTGCATCTGTTTCTTAATCCGATATGGGTGTAAATTCAGTGAATGACCCATACCTTATTTTTAAAACAAATATTCTAAATCCATTATCGGTCCATCTATTAGTAAATAGAGAAATTATGTTCGTTAGTTAGTTTACACAACCCAGCTAGCACATAACGTTACCAAGCCTTTCGGCGATGTTGTTTTAAGGGAACATAATAACATACCCATACAACGTAAATGCAACGTTAATGAGAAGTTGTTGAGGGAAATCAAAACCTCGCGAAACATCTATTTGTTACTTACGTATTTAACCTGCCTGTTATGATAACACAACGTAATTAAGTAACTTGCTAAAAAAGTTTCCACGAGAAGTACTATGGACTTTCGAACGTAGCCATTCGTTTGTCATAACCAACAAAACATAAAAAAATGTCACTTGTCACTTTTTCTTGTACGTATTTCAGATTTTAAAGAAATTGGAAACTATACGTTTGAATAAGTTTGGTAAGTTGTTTTCTTCTTTTCAATAAATTTTCTAATTTTCTAATTTATTGTTTGTTGTTTTAGATGGCAAAATTTCAATTTCCAAATACAATCAAAAATAAATCATTGTAAACAAGTAGATACAATTAAATGATGAAATATTTATTTTACACGATAATAGGGATCTTATTGATGCCTTAATACTATAGAAGTAACGATATTAAACAATGAAAGTATCGATATTTAGGCACTGAATTACTGAACCCTTTCTTGCTAGAACCGCAGTATAGAAGTGCTCATGTAGTTCACTAAAGATAAATAACATTTAAATTTGTTACGTTTCAGTAAATTAAGTATTACCATTGCTGGACAGTAGTGACGTTTTGGTGGATAAATACAGCATTTCACTGGATATATATACCTATGCCATTTTGCTGTACGTTTGCTGCACAATACCAATTGCTGGACAAACTTTAAAAATGCTTTACAATACAGAAAAATTGCTGTAAGTATGGTCGCCCTAGTGTAATAATATTTTAATCACTAAAAATAAATTTTAAAAATATTGTGTTTTAGGTTTCCTTTGGGCTGGATTATAATTTTAGTAAAAATCTCAGGAATTTTAGAAGCTAAAGTTAATACAGAATTGGTTGAAGAAGAATATATAACATCTGAGATTATTTCTTTTTCTTTCAGAGCAGAATATCATGCTAAAAAACATTGTTCTGTATAAGTTGAACATCCATTATTAAGTATAAAAAGTCAAAATAAATGTTATTATTTATTTAAAAAAACAAAGTAAGTAAAAATCAACTAAAAATAGGTGCAACGATTTAAACGAGCATATTTTTTATTTTCTTTATATATATATATATATATTATTTTCTTAATAATAATTAAACAAGTAAATTTATTATCTACAAAGTTATTTTTACGGAAGAAACTATGTAATTAAGTTCACATATTTATTTGTTTACAGTTCGCTACTGATATATAAAGTTCTAAATGGTTAAAATATCAAAATAAAATAAAAAAGAAATTAATAAAATTGTCACAGTATAAAAATGAAGTCAATAGTGTAATAAAAGTTGACACTTTAAAAAATAAACCTTTTAAAATGTCATAATTTGAAAAATACTTATTGTAATTGGACATCAGTTGGTCTACAAATAAATTCTGTCCATAGTTAGTTCTATGAGCATTTACATAAAATAGTTTCATATGCCTAGTAAGTCTGGCAGGAACAAGGAATCTAATAAAGTGTACCAGGCTGTCACTATCAATCAAACCGTTCAATAACTTATACAGGAAAACAAATGATGCTTCTCGACATCTGCATTCCAAACTCTTATAGGTCCCTCTCAAAAATAACATCAAGATCATTTATAGTTTGCTCAAAACTTAGTTCAGAACCTGCAATGACAATCATGCATAATGATATTAGCTGTTTTATTAAACCTTATGACTTTACATTTATCAATATTCAGTTTATATCATATTAAAACTTATATAAATACACTTTTTACTACTTTTGTACAATCTTGCACCATTTTAGCTACCAGTGAACCTTTGCAATATAGGTACCTTATTATACTCTTTCGTGCAAGCGTTCAGTGTTTTCGATTCTAGTGAACCTTTGAGATATTCCTTATATACCCTTTATACCAACTTTTGTCCAATTTGTCAGTGTTTTTTTTACCTATATTATTAATACCTACCTCTACTTGTATGATATTGGTTCTTGATTTCAAAAGCTTTTTAATAATAAATTTATACAATTTTTTATTTTGTTTTCTTCAGATTTTACTATATCCTCAATATACTATTTTAAATATAGTGTATCCAAGGATGGACATAACTATATTTGTAAAGATATTTATTTTAAATTGTTCAAAAGATCTTTTTCATAATTTCTCAACGTTAATCGTATTTATTTAACAAGCAAAAGAAATTATAAAGAAGTACTTTTAAATTTAAAATAAATATTTTTACAAGTATTGTTAAGTCCATCCGTGGACACACTGTATAATGCTGTAGAATGAATTCACATTATAACATCTATAGAAAGTTTCAGAGCAACTTTCAGGGTAAGTACCGTAAAAGTGCTAGTGTGATGTTTTCCGAACTTCACTTTTTAACTTCTGTGAGATGTGCTATAAAAGTCTTGCCGTTGCGGACATTCGGTGGTTGCAGGGATGATAGGGTTACATTAACAGTACATTGCATGCGAGCTTAAAGAGCCTAAAATTGCAGCTTATTAACGTAGATGGGATGTTTTTGTGCTAGCTGGGAACCGTTCGATGGCTTGGTAAAAGACAACAAAATTATCAAAGATATGACTTGGAAACCACGGAGCTTGCTGTCATCTATTGATCCTGTTCCATTGTCCTCCAAGATAATTTGCATTGGTATTGAGGTACTATAGTTGATCTAAATACAATGGTATTACGTACCTTATGGTACTCTTCAGGACCGTCTTAGAGGCAAAGTCGACGTAAATAATAAGAAATTGGGAAGACATGCAGTTCTTAACCCTGACCAGGAGGAGGAGCTCTACAATTATATAATTAAAATGTCCAAGTTGTTTTACGGATTGTCGAGACACCAAGTCAAGAAAATCAAGTTAAAAAATATGTGGTAATGACTGGTACTATGGATTTATGAAAAGGCACCTTAATATATCCCTGAGAAACCCAGAGAGCACGTCGTTGAACAGGGTAAAAGGGTTTAACAAGCAAGAAGTGACCTTTTTTTCTCTAATTTGTCTGGGATGTTTAAAAACTATAATTATCCTGCTAATCATATTTGAACCGGTATAACTCCTTTACACATTCCTGGAAAATTTATTGAAAACTGAAATTACTTTTCAATAAATTTACTGTGACCAAGACTTTAAGTATTATTTGGTTTTATCTAATATTCAACAAAAAAAAACTAATTTCCATAAAAAAGCGCGAGAACCTTTAAGTTCCCCTAAAAAAAAAAATTCCATTCGATTGCATTCATCTTACAGACTATCAGATTCAAATAAACCTCCTATATTCTAAATTTATAAATATTAGGTACGATTTAACGCCACATCGGCATCGCCAATAAGCAAAAGGTGAATTTCTAAGTACCTACAATATAACGAGTGGCACAAAATTGATCGAAAGCATTTGATCGAAAAAACATTTTATCAAATAACCATTGATCGAAAAGAAAAATGATCGAAAAACCAAATATACAAAAAATTAGAAAAATCAAAAAAATCTCAAATAATTTACCCAACCAATGCGGCAAAGAGCCAACGCTGGTTGCTTCGCAAAAAAAACAGAATAAACAGAAAAATAAAAAAAAATAATTTAGCTAACCTGTGCGAGAGCAATCAGTTAAATTTAAATGGCTCCAGGACGTACAGCTTAGGCCAATAGTTAAGTTTTTAATTTTTCTCACTTTTGTATATTATTTTTTGTGAAGCAATCCTTGACGGCTCCATGCCGCACAGGTTAGGTAAATTAATTAAGTTCTTTTTGAATTTTCTCACTTTTGTATAATTTTTTTTTGCAAATCGCGAAATCTCAGCTTAGGTAGATTAGTAAGATTTTTATAAAGAAAAAACTTAAAATAATTTACCTAAAATGTCCCATCGAAAGGCAACTCGACCTTACTGAAATACATATTTATTTCGAATTAATCACAATGCTTTAGTCTCAATGACGATAAATAATCGTTTAGTTCTGACAACATTAATTTGTAAATTAACAGTATTGTAAAGATACCATTTCTTAAATCAGGTTTTAAGATTATCAAAAAATTTGCCATTAGTGCCTAATTTACAGCCGCTTAGTTTAGTTTCCCCGGTAATAGGGAGTAGATGGGCGGTTGCATGGTGTCGTTTGATTTCTTTATATTTTACTAGTTTTACTGCTGATTTTCGATATATTGTCCTTTCATTCTAATGAATTTTAGATCTATTGTCTTTTCGATAAAATATATCTTCTATCAAATGTTATTCGATAAAATATATTTTCGATCAAATATCATTCAATAAAATGTATTTTCAATCAAATGTTTCTATCAATTTTGGGCCACCCCATTGAAAACTCTCAAAATTATTATAATTCGGTAATTTTCGCCAGTTTATAATAATTTACGTAGTATCTAATGATTAATCGCCGATTTTAATCAATTTTTAGGTACAAATCAAATAGTTTTGTAAAATATATTATTAATAATAATAATAATCGGGTACAAATCCTGCCGGTGACAAAATTTTTACTTAAATTAATTACGTTGACCAGTCTGATATTTTACTGAGGTGTTTAAAAAGGCAAAAGGCCTACAATAAGATAGCAACAAAAAGTGTAAAAGGCTCTGAGGCAACAGGGATTTTTCCAATGACCAGAGATGTCATTATTGAAGAAACCGTGAAAGAGGGAGATGAACCGCAAAAAAAGATGATAACAAAAGCAACGGGGATATAATGAAAAAGGACGTAGGAACTAAGGGTAAAACAGATAATGCAGTGACAAACATTATAAAAAATCCTGCTAAGAAAAACATATCAAGTAAAGACTTAGCAGAAGCTGGACCATCAGAAATTTCAAGACGAAAAAGTATAGAAAAATTGTCGAATGATTGTGATATCGATAGCGAATCAGACACTAGTATAGTTTTCTATACCGATGAGGCTAGTGATAATGACTTAGAAAAAAACGTAAGGGCGAATGTGTCATTTGAAGACCTTCAGCCTGTTCCTCGCTTTTTAAGGTCAAGCCACGAAAAGGGCAAGAAAACACATTCTCAAGTATTTACCGTGACACCAAATAAAATAGAATTAGAGATGAAAGAAAATGCAAAATTAAGAAAAATAGAACTGGCAAAATCTAGGGAAACCAAAAGAAAATTTGTGACAGATGATAAACTAAAGAAAGACAACTCAAATAGCAAGAGAAGAAAAATGTAAAAGGCCACGGATCCTTGCATCATATGCACGGAATTTGGAAAGGACAATGAGTGGTGACTAATCTGTCCTTGTGGAAAATCATTACAGCAGAATGTGCAGGCGTGGAAATCACTCAATTGTATATTTGTCATTTTTGTCGGCCATAAATCTCTTAATAATTTGTGTGACTTTTTAAGTTACTTGTTTGAAGTTATTCCGTATATTTTTCAGTTTGTTCTTTTGTTATTTTGTCATTAATGGGCATTTTTTATAATGTTTTTTATGGTTAATATTGCCTGTATAGGTAGGGTAATACCAATCATTTACATTTTTAATGTTTTAGGAAATAAATGTTTAATTTTCATGTTTTCACTCTCACTTATTCTTCCTAATTGTGCTTTGTTAAATTTTACATAAAACAAGTTTTAAATTATAGCTAGTTTGGTATTTATTAATTATTTTTCTTGAGTGGTCGGCATTTCCTATATTTCCCCTACTCCCGATTTATTATTGGGATTAATTTTGCCACCATTGTTTTTAATATACTTATTAATTTTGAAAGCTACGTTAATATTTTGGTTTTTAGGTATGATGATACCTTTTCACTGGGGTTCCTATATATGTGAGTCTTATAGCTACAATTTTGATCTTTAATTCATTCAAAGTATTTTTAAATGGACATTTTGGGGTATTTTTTATAATGGATATTCATCAATATAAGAAAAATAAAAAATCAATGGCACGGCACACAAAAAATATATTTTTTTATGCAGAATAATGGTAAAACAGACAAAATTAATCATATATATGAAAAATATAATTTCCAGAATTTGCCTTACAGAGTGCACACAAAAATATTCTAAAAATGAAAGTATAATTACTTCTCGACATCAGTTTTATTAATTTAAGAACCATCATTACCCCTTCCTACAGCGATCAATCTAACTACGCGGCTGCGTGAAATTATATGCCAAGTATCCCTCAATAATGGACACAATACTTGTGATCTGCTTTTGTTTCGTGAAGAAGGAAACAATGGGTAACACTAAACCACTGTTTAGCATCTAGTGGGCTATAAATAAACGAGTAGACGATTCTATTTCGTGGGAAATATTGTTTCAGCGTTGATGCTACATTGTTTTGTTCATTTCATGGCTACTGTGTTCTCTTTTAATGGTTATAATGGAACTATTAAGACGATTGTTCGGTTGCAATTGTTCAAAGAATAAGAAAGTGAATAATGGTTTATGGTACTTCAAATCGCTAAAATTTCGCGGTTTGGAACTGAAAAATAAGTACGTACTTAAAACGTTCTTGGGGCAAGTAACCTTTTACTTGTCGTCAGATTTTTTTTACTATTATTCTTTATTGGTCCATTATTATGCAACAGCTACATGTCATAATATTTGAAAAAGTAAGTATAAAATTCAAAGAGACTAATAAAAAAGGTATATCGCTACCTTAGAAGAACACAGGCATAACTCAAAAAATACAAATTTCAAGATAAGACGGTTAATAATTTTCATTAAGAAAATTACTTATCGATAACCTGTTTTGCCAAATTTAAAGTGGTTAAATACAGTTCGCTTTTATAAACATACCACCAACCTTTGGGAAAATGTGGGATTTAAGAGTCTAAGTTGCGTCGAGAAATAGAGGATCGTGATTTGGAGACGACAGGGAAGAAAGCAAAGTTAGTAGATCGTCTTAAAGAAGCAATAAAAAATGAAGGTTTGGATCCGAAAACGTATTTATTTTCGTATGATACATCTTTTGCTATGACCTCTATGAAAACCGATATTTCTTCTATAAAAAATTATATTTCCTCCTTATATTCTAAAGTTTATTCTAACACTTGAAAAGCAAAATGCCTTCTATGGAAAATAAATGTTCATCTAATATTTCTTCCTTAGAAGAAAAATCGTCTTCCGAAATAATTTCTTCTTATGAAATTAAATTTCTGCTGATGTGGAAAATAAAATGCCTTCCATTGAGGAGAAAATAATGTCTTCCGTTGTGGAGAAAATAATGTCTTCCATTGAGGAGAAAATAGAAAAAGATAGAAGAAATGGAACACGTAGACTAAGCCAAGGACGTCAAATAAAAAAATAAAATGCCATGAGGTGGCTTCAAAGTTAAAATTGGAAGGAGTTGTAAATTTTGCCAGTGTTAATAAAGCCCCAACTTTCAACGGGAAGATGTCATGGACCAACTACCTTAAACAGTTCGAAACAGGTGTCAGAGCAAACGAATGGTCTGAAAAAGAAAAGGCAGTAAATCTAACCATCGCCCTTTCAGGAAATGCTTTAGCTTTAGATGTTCTTTAGACTATGCCTGTGGAAAAAACAGATGATTTTGAAAACTCAAAATGAGACTAAACACGCGATATGGCCACAAACAGAAACGAGACGAGACTCTTCAAGAATACGAAGTATATATTAGCTCCAGAGCAGTCCAAGCATTTGTTGATGGACTTCGTGATCATAAAATGCAAAGATTACTGCGTTTAACCCATCACAAAACATTGGTCCGGTGTCTTGTCCGCTGCTTTTTGAATATGAAACGGATACGCTGGCTTCTGCTGGATACAGTGAAGTAAGGACTGTAAAAGAGGAAGAACAGGAAAATAAATTCGATTTTTTACCATGTTAAAAATCCTTATTGAAAAACAGCCGAAAACTATCAGGTACTGGAGTCGCAGTGAAATGGGAAATGTAAGCAATTCACGCAAACGGTAATGAAAGTGTTGGTAAAGGAACTCCAGTTGGAAAGGGGTTATAATACAAAGGACAACGGTTGTCAACGATGTATGGGCCCCTGCCAAACTTAGGGAAGAACAAGAAAACGATCCCGTAGGAAGAGAAAAATCATCGACTTACTTGACAAGAAGTAATTAAATTATATTGGGCTCAGTGGGACTTTTTTATTCTGGAAGAAGGCTTGTCAAAGCGAGTACTAGAGAGAACGATGATGGTTCCGAAAACAGAAAACAGTTGGTCATTCCAAAGACTAGAGTAGCCGAAGTACTTCGTCAGTTACACGACAGTCCATCAGAAGGACATCTTGGTGTTAATAAAACCTTTCAGAGAGTTTCTGAAAGGTTTTATTGAATGAACAGTTCCGATGATGTAAAGGACTGTTGTTAGAAATGTATTACCTGTGCTATGAGTAATGGACTCCAATGAAAAAGGAAGGCTCACATAAAGCAGTACAACGCCGGTAGCCTATTTGAAAGGATTGCCGTAGATACTGCTGGACCGTTCTACATGACCGAGGATAGTAATAAGATGGTCCGACTCCATAACTCAAAACGATAAAAGTGTTATTCTCCGGTGCTTTAAAGGTCTTGGGAATGTACGTACCCATCAAGAAAAAAAAAATTAATGATGTCATTTACCGTATATGTAAGATCCCGGACTGTAGACCGAAGGTAGTGCACCAAAACCGGCTGTCGCTATTTGAGGGTGATCATGACGAGGAAAAAGAAGTAAACCAGCTTCAAGAAACACCTGATGCGTGCATATGGAAGTACCGGAAAATCAAGACATGGTGTTACAACCGACAACAAGACCTGCTTACGATTCGTAAAGACTACTCCCTGGTCCATATAGCACTTTCGCCAGCATCAACGACACTAGAGATCTGGCATCTATGTTCCGGTAGAAGTTTGGTCGATTGCAAGAATTTTAAGGTCAGTTTCCAGCCCCTTGAAACTTTAAGATGGGTCGCGTTACCTTTTCTATTTGGTAACAAAGAACACCTCTTCCGAGATTGGCCCATTTATCATGATGTATGGGAATCATTACTTAGTCTGAGGGAGCACGTACTGGAGTTTAATGTACAGAAACTAGCTATGCCAAAGATAGAGAGCAACCAGCTGAATTGGAGGATGATTAGAAACATGGTGAAAGTAATCTTCCAAGATACCGAGGTTCAAATACTGGTCAGCAGCCATTCGCATAGTGTCCAGGTTTCAGCAAAAACCATCCTTTGTTATTTCTGTGTGAATGGAAATTGTGGGTCCAGTTGTAGATACAACCATTTATTTTTAGTTCCAGAAGGAACTGTTTTTAAAGGAGGGCGCAATATCGTGCGAAACCAGCCCTATCCACCTCGCAACCCGTCCACCTCGAAGACTCTAGACATTGCTGGAATTTTCTTTATATGCGGTTCGACGCGTCGAGGAAGATTTACAGATTCTTCTACACACATTTGGCTCATTCGAGACTGTGGCAATTTTATATATAAGTGAATTGTTCCGCCGTTTATTTTAAGTTTCAATATAAATGTTGTCAAGTAAAGATAAATTATTGTAAAAATAAATTAGAAGTGTGAATTATAATAGTGCTTAAGTATTAAATTAATTAATTAATACGAAGTGCAAATAAATTATTATAAATAAACTGTTTTAAACAAGTAAACTATTTTTAAATTCAACAATCGTTACATTTACTTCAGCATCCTGTATTTACGTAAGATTCACATTTATTTAAATTTAAAACAATTATTTTCACTTTTAGAAACGTTTAAATAATTTATTTCATCTTCAAGAAAGATAAAAAAAACTATATCTTGTTAGCTAAAGTCGTTGATATCACTGTTTCTAATGTACGAAGGGTGAACTTAAATGATCAAATATAGAACCACCTCCCAACAATAATTTTATCAGTACCTACCTAATACAAACGAGCGGATTCTAGAGATCTACCTACCTTATCCCCTACTGTCTTCGAGCATATATATTTCGATATTAGGGCTCTTTCAGACACAACGATTTTGTCCGTATGAAAAAAATTCGTACGGATTTTTCCGTGCGTTGTTGATAGTAAACTAATAAAATTAACGACAGGTTTCATATTAGACGAAGACGGATTTTTTCCGTACGGTCGATTTGAAAACAGCCGTGTCAACGAGCCGTTTGGTTTTTATTTATCATAAATATTTCGTATTTTGGTTTACGCATCAATATGACCATGACTGACTTATAAACTAGTAGTTTGACAAATTTAATTTTTTTTTGT